GAGTGAACTCTAGCCCCACAGGGGGCTAGAGTTCACTCTCCACTGGACCACCAGGGATCACAGCAGCACTATCCCCCCTCCCTACAAAAGGTAAGAAGGGAGGGGGGATAGAAAGTAATCCACCTCCACCCCCACAATCACCCAACCACATACAGCACACACATACAGCACACACACATACAGCACACACACCCACACATACAGCACCCACACACATACACAGCACCCACAGACATACACTGCACCCACAGACATACACTGCACCCACACACATACAGCACCCATAGACATACACAGCACCCACAGACATACACAGCACCCACAGACATACACTGCACCCACACACATACAGCACCCACAGACATACACAGCACCCACAGACATACACAGCACCCACACACATACACAGCACCCACACACATACAGCACCCACAGACATTCAGCACCCACACACATACACAGCACCTACACACATTCAGCACCCACAGACATACACAGCACCCACACACATTCAGCACCCACACACATACAGCACCCACAGACACACACACAGCACACACACACAGCACCCACACACATACAGCACCCATACACAGCACCCACAGACATACACAGCACCCAACACATACACACAGCACCCACACACACATACACATCACCCACACACATACAGCACCCACACACATAAACAGCACCCACAGACATAAACAGCACCCACACACATACAGCACCCACAGACATACAGCACCCACACACGTACAGCACCCACACATACACAGCACCCACACACTTTCAGCACCCACAGACATACAGCACCCACAGACATACACAGCACCCACAGACATACACAGCACCAACACACATACAGCATCCACACACACATACAGCACCCTCAAAAACACACACTGCACCCTCACACACAGCACACAAACAGCACCCTCACACACACACAGCACACTAACAGTACCCTCACAAACACAAACAGGACATTAACAAACACACACACAGCACACTACCAGTACCCTCACACACAAACAGCACCCTCACAAGCGCACACACACACAAACAGCACCCTCACACACAGTACATTAACAGCATCCTCACAAGCACGCACACACAAACACCCTCACCCACATAGCACACTACCAGCACCGTCACACACATATCACACTAACAGCACCCTCACACACACACACAGCAGTGTGTGTATGTGTGTATATATGTGTATGTATATATATATATATATATACATACATACATACATATATATATGCGGCGTGTGCTTGTGCTTTAGGGTGCACACTCTAATGCAATAGGCTGCGCACGCCTATGGTTACCCCCTTTTACCAGTCCAGGTGACCTCTATACTCTGGAGGCTCGGCAGTGGGATACGGGAGTGTCTTTTCCTCCCCTCCCACTTTCCAGCCTTTTGAGTTTCCTTCTTCATGATGGGAGTCATGTTCCTCTCCGTCTGCTGTCCCATTCTCCATGTATTGATGCTGGGCGTCTTTCAAAAATCTATTCCGTTGGTGAATGCGTCCTTCACACATTCTTAATAAACCTGACAGTGTGCATAATTTCCCCTCATATCAGCACATCCCTCCTTGTGTAACCTCTGGGTGCGGAGACATTACGCTGGCCAATAAAACTCCCTTCCCTTCTCCATTATATTCTCACCCAGTCTCCAATCCTTCAAAGAAATCAGTGAAAGCTCACTTATTCAGGAAGGGATATCAATTTAACTGTTAATATCTTTCCCTCCCCGATTCTCTACTGTCATTAAAATATATATATATATATATATATAAACAAAACACTAAGCCCTCAATGAATAATATTCTAGCAACCTACTCTGTGTCACTTTACCCCACTCCCTCTAGCATGAAGGCTCATTGAGCAGGGCCCTCAACCCCTCTGTTCATGTGCGTCCAACTGGTCTGGTTACAACAACGTGTCTGTTAGTCCACCTGTTGTGCAGCGCTACAGAATTTGTTGGTGCTTTATAAATAATAATAATATAGTGTCCCTGAACTCAATCTCTGCTTCCTCAATCCTTCCTGTTACTCGAGTATCTTTATGTCATTTGATTTGTGGTTCTTCGTTTATCCTGCTGTCTGCAGTTCTGACTTCCTCCGCCTGTTCGTCTGACTTTACTAATGTGTTTGAAGGTATCTTTCTTACATTAGGCCTAGCCACTCTATAATACTTCTTTACTGGTGGTATATTATGAGATTAGTGAGCTTAAATTCTGCATTTCTAAAACAGAAGCATTCAGGATTCAGATGCATTGGTTATATCGTGGATTTTAAAGATATCTTGGATTTTAAACACATATAAGAAAAATACTTGGCAATGAGATATATCCATTTTCCTATGTATCCGAGAATCTTGAATTCTTGTTGTTTAGGATTGGCTTAAGCACATACCAAGCATTTCTGAATTCCTTCCTAACATACAGACATAGGTTGTATTTTGGTGCATGCATTCTGTACAGTTGGGGGCCCTTTCATCAGAAAAGTTTAGTGCTTCAAATGTCTTAAAGAAACAGTAATACTCTATGTTAAATGTATACAAATGAAAACATTAAGAAAATATTTAAAAAGCACGTATTTTTACATTACATCTCCGGTTATCTGCACTTTATCACAGAACAGTGACTGCCATTTGTTTAACATCATTTGTGGATTTTTATTTATTTTTTGTTATTGATTTTGAGTCCCATTTACAATTTTGTTTGGAGAAAGACTTTTGGCTTTAAACTAAGCATTTCACACAAAGTGATGTGCAACAGAGCCCATGAGCTCACAATCTAAAGGATTGTATTCTTGACATTTTAATTGTGGTACTAATTGAAATTATTTCAATTTATTATATGCGTTTTAGGGTGATTAGAGTTTGCTTGATGGGGTTAAAAGATCTAAAACATACAGTTATGTTGTTAAATTGAATATTTTCATGGGTTGTTAGAAACTATACATTTACAACAGATAGACAGATAGACCTTTAATCCTACAAGTTTGTTATGTCATATCAGTGCCCCAATCTATTATTGTTTAACACAAAGTAGAAGAACCTTAAAATGAGATATGTGAGAGAGATGACATTATTGATCACTATGTCCAACCTTGTTGGGACTATATGTTTTTTACTGGAATTGTAGTTCTCCAACATGCTTGTAGGGCCATGTGTAGACATTCTTGATTAAGGAGGAAGTGAGCACTCAGACTGTGTCATTACCCAGTGTCTCGAAACTTCAATTGGTTGAAGGCCTTTAACCCCTCACATCATACTCCAGCATTCTTGGTCTTTGTAGGCGTTAGCTTCAAATTACCCTCCTTTGTGTAACTGAATAAGCTGATGGGAAGCTCAAGAGACACCACCTGCAGCCTGAAGTCTTCACACCTGGTAGGTGAAGACGACGATGATTAATGTTCGCCTTCCATAATAATTTACCAACATAGAGGACACGCAAAAGAAGCCTTCATCCTTGTAACACTGGTAAAACCTGTAGAGCTTGTTCCAGTACAGATTATGCAGTCCTGTTGGATACAGGAGAGTCAATAAAGCAATTTTGCTTAGCCAGGGGGGAGTACAGGAGATTTATACCAGCCTTGATTTGTATTGGAGAATGACCAGATTTATACTTTGCCCAGAGACGATTATTAAGAAAAAGTTCATCCCACAGGGCAGTAGAGTTTTTAACGGAAACATGCAGCAGATATTTTGGATGAGTTGAAATCTGGCCTGGTTATTTATCCCAAAGCCAGACATTAAAATGTAAAACAAACTAACTGGCACGAAAATAAATAAATAATAATAATTAAAAAATACTGTTAATAAGCATACAAAATATTAACCCATACTAGGAGGCTTCAATCTGGAAGATGTAGGCAGCTGTAGCCTACTGGAACAGAATAACCAAAAATTTATGTTGCAAATGTCCCTGAAACAGCAGCGTTATAACCCAAAATATAGGAGGACACAATATAACTGTACATCCGTATTGAATATTAAAATGCAATTAAAAAAGGCACACGCCAGAACACAAAGGACTGGAGAAAGTACTAAACATCATGAAAGCGACATCAAGACCCCCTATTTAAAATATATTTACAATGTATTTGTTTTTACTGCAATTTTAGAATAGAGTAATTCATGTTAAAGTTTGATAAAAATAAATGAAACTTTGTGATGAAATAGCTTACTTTAACATATTCAATTATTGTACAAACATTTTAAGAAGTAGCTAACCACATTGCAATTAATGCAACACACTTCATCAGGAAAGCATATCATTTAAACTGTTAGCGGGTTTTCATTCCCCTACCCCCCATGACTCCACTCCTGCAACTGTCAGTGAATACTTTTCTAGCAGCGTATTTCATTACCCCTACTTATACCCTTTGTGTCACTATACCCCACTCCCTCTAGCATGTAAGCTCATTGAGAAGGGCCCTCAACCCCTCTGTTCCTGTGCGTCCATTTGTCTGGTTACAGTTACGTGCCTGTTAGTCCACCTATTGTACAGCGCTACGGAATTTGCTGGCGCTATATAAATAATAAAATAATAATAATAATGAAATTGTCTGCTTTTATTTCCAATTAGATTACAATTTGTGAGTTGGTTTGCTCATCTAGTATTATTTGTTTATTACTGGCATTTATAAAGCGCCAACATATTCCGCAGCGCTGTACAATTGGGAAAAAGACAGGACATAGAGAGACAAATACAAACAAATACAAATGGTAAAAAAGGGACTTCCTCATGAGCTGAGATTTAGCCCCGTACCCACAGTTCTGCTTTCTAGCAGCAAAGAGGTTAATACACAGATTATTGATCCTTTGTGATGAAGAATATTGACATGCAGCCTCCAGGTTTTTACGTCCAATACCACAGCAACAGCAGTAGCAAAATTAGTAAAAATAATTATTTTTGAGTTATAACTTAGGTCAATGATAAAAAGAGAGGAGTCACTAGATCTGGGAAAGGAAGCTGCTTGAACAGTTAAGGGTTAAAGACATTGGAATGTCTCTAATGCTGACCCTTGGCTTCTGCAATTACACCTGCAAAACAAGTAGGATTTATGGCTGTCTGAGTACAGGGGGCACTGCAGAAACAACCCATACACAAATAATCAAGCCATGGACTGAGACACAGACATGCAGACAGATACATATACAGAAACACAGACCCACGAATGTCCATATATCACCCTTACAGGCTGCCTATTTTAGATGCTATGGACTCAAACACACTTTCACAGATTAACCTTGAGAGTGCAACAAGAATTTGGAAGACCGCTCATCTGAATAAAATGAAAGGGTTTTAGTTTCTCAAACTGCTTTCACATGGGGGTTTCCACGTGAAAATACTGAGATTTGTGATATAAATTATTCTGTTTTCTTTTTGTTTACCATATTCGTGTACTTTTGAGTGAGCCTCGCATCCATTGATTAGTATTTTTCTCACATACATGTAGAAGTAAATTTTTAATTTTAAGAACAATTCATGTATATTAAATTTCACATTTGTTTTAAACAGGATGTGGAAAAATATTTTGTTTGAAAATACTCTCTAAAGATCTTCCTAAAGTAGGGACACAATGTAGAAATTGCCTCTCCCACGCACCACACACTATGCAATTACACAGCAGGGATAGGCTTGCCATTAGTGAACCAATTAAATTATCGGAGTAGTCAATTAATTATGCTAGTTACAGTGTCTTCATTAAATATGGCAACACAAAAATTTACAAAAACATTATTAGAATATTTTTAAAGTTGCAGCCATTGTGTTTTTATGAGTGCATCAATGGCGGTGTGAAAACTCTAAGTAAGGGGGAAATGACCTAATATCAAAAACCCCACCGATATGCATATTTCCCACTTTTAAAAAAAATATTGCAACACAATGTCATTTTGGACTGTACAGTCTTCAATTTGTATGCATTCAAACTTTTCCTTTAAGACAAACTGTCTATCACATTCTACATGAATTAGAAGAAAACTTTCATCAGTTTTTATTACTGAACATAAATATTACATGCAATACAGTTTAATCTATGTATTATTGTCTTATAAATACATATAAGTTAATCCCTTATTTTATACTGTCTCCTGGTTCACACTTGACCTTTTGAGGCAGCCATCTTTAAACCTTCTTTGATTGAAAA